AAATGTATGATGACGATGTATTGTGTGATTCCCTGTCTGATGTTTTAATCAAGACTATTGTAGAGGTTTACCTTCTTATTATAATTAGTCATGTGTAATAAAAGACACAATCAAAACTATTAATAGACAGCGATGATACATTGTATTGCGGTGATTCAAGAATGACAATAGTGCGTAATCGAGTGAGTAAAATCTCACTCTCCCAAAAAAATTCATAAAATTACAAACATTTCATTCTGGAGTGTCAAATATTACATTGAAAACGAGCGTAAGAAAGGAAGTGATGCCCTAAAAAAATTATTGGAAATACATCCGTTACTATCGCTATTGGCCAATATTTTAAAACGGAATCTACCTATGCTCATCTTAATATTAATATTAATAATGACTGGAATGCAACTTTTCCAGTATTCAGGAATACCATTACACAATTGTATAAAGCTCATGGCCATAGCCAATTCACCCATTCTAAAAACTGTAATTTTTTGCCTGGGGGTGGATTTTGCATGCAGTCTTTTTGCTTTCAACAGATAATAACTGGACCATACATACTACGTTGAAATTTTTCGGAAACACTTACAGAAAATTCAACAAATGCTGAAATGCTGGAATATGTCTGACGCTTTCAGCAAGACAATGAAAACTTATGAAGTGTTGTTAAGAGAAATGACGATCAAAAATCTTGAAGGTTTATGGTCGAAAGTGTGATAATATTCCAGATGCTATTATAAAAAATTTAATAGAATTAATAAAATAGGTTGTGAAGCAATTATTGAGAAAGGTGGTGGACGAATTAACTTTGGCAAATTTTATAAGCTATTGACAAAATATTTTGCATTGACAGTTGTCGAGTTATTACAAATTGTGGCGGGCGACTTTTTCTTTCCATACTGTATGAGAAATCGATCATTGACCTTAGGATTTAGCTATTTTCGAACGGAGAGGCTTCTCTTAATTCTAATTACAGTTAGTGTCACTTAAGCGAATAGCCACAAGAATATCCTGGCAGATATTCCTGATCGACATTCACAACTACAGTATGTCAGAATATTACCAGAGAAGAATCATTAATAATATATTCAGAATACGAAAAACTACTCATTTATTAGAAAGAAATGTTAATCGAACATGAACATGAAAATGATCAAGCCTAACGGAATGTCGCACTTCATATATATTTAACCAAGTTGCCATTTTGACGGCTATCTTTTCTAAATGGCGATAACACCATAAACCTGTTTGGAATATGCGCCATTGTTCAGAAGATTTTGGCAGATAATCGTCGATCGGCCATCTCATCTATATATATATTTTTTTTATCTTCTTTCCTTTTCATTCGATAAATCGTATTAAGATGTCGACACCATCGTTCCCATCACACCCACAAATAGTTGACGGATGGTTCAAGGAGAAGCCATTGTTATGGCCTGGTCAAGGTATCCGTCAGACTGATATATTCAGAATTCCTCGTTTATTACTCTTGTATTCATTTATACGCTCAATATAGCCATGTGCCTGGAAATTGAAGAAGTTCTCCATATGGAAAAATCAGAGCTACAAGATATTCTAATCTTCAAATCCAAGACATACGGTGTAGTTTTTGCTCTCGATGGTGTTGTTCAATGTACTGAGCGTGATGAATTTGCCTATCAAGAAATGATAGCTCATCTCCCGCTCAATTGCCATCCTGATCCTCGAAAAGTACTTGTTATTGGTGGTGGAGACGGTGGTGTATTAAGAGAGATTGTCAAACATGAGAGCGTAGAAGAGGTTATCTTGTGTGAAATTGATGAGGCCGTTATTCGAGTAGCAAAACAGTACTTGCCGAATATGGCGGTTGGATTTGATCATCCCAAAGTCAAAGTCATTATTCGAGACGGATTTGAATACCTAAAAGAGAAGCCCGAAAGTTTTGATGCCATAATTGTCGATACATCGGATCCTATTGGTGAGTAGTATTTGCAGAATCGCCTAGCGGAGATAAATCGATACTGCAATAGGACTGTCTTGTGCACCTTCGCCTATGAGCTGTGTCCTGCATGCGGGCATCCAAATTCCGGATGCTGGCACGGTGTAAATATGTCCCCCACCTTCCCACCTCCCAATTGCACTTGACCGAGTCTTCGATTTAAAGAAGCTAACCATAATTCTTTGTGTTTCGGATGTAAAAGACATGCTTACAGAAGAAAATCAAGCTGTTGTCAAGTTGTAGGAAATCAGCATGTAATCCATCGCTGTGACAATAGCATATGGACAAGCATCCTTGTCATTTCGATCTAGGAAGCATCCGGTGCAAACTGAATTCGAGTATACACGACAGTCCTTTGCGGTATTGCTGTAATGATATCGATTACTAAAAGTTAATTTATCTTCGAATTAGGCCCCGCGGAATCTTTATTTCAGAAAGACTTTTTCAAGTTGGTACGAGACGCACTTCGACCGGGTGGCCTTATGAGCATTCAAGGTAATTAATCGTTATCAATGTATTATATACACGTTTTCAAACGTCCGCATTCTAGACATTCAATTACATATCAATTCCCACACACCAATTCCCCTACATCTTGTACTATCGCGTTCCCTCAAAGCCGAATGTCAATGGCTTCATTTGTCATTCATCAAGGAAATTCATCTATACTGTCTTGAGGTCTTTCCCGTGGTCGAATACGCTTACACAACAATCCCTACGTATCCCTCTGGTCAGATAGGGATTTTTGTGTGTTGTAAGGAAGAAGAACGTAATCTGCGTAAGCCATTGAGAAGGTGGACCCCCGAGCAGGAAGATAAATTGTGCAAATACTACAATGCTGAAATACACGAGGCATCCTTTATTTTACCGACTTTCACGCGGAGTTTTATTAGTCAATACAAACCATCAAAATAGTCATTGACGGAAATGATGTTTACTTGTAAGCATTCGATGCGAAGTGTATAACTTTGATCTATTCTCCTTATGGAGTCTCTATTAAATCAAATCAAGACTGTGAACTTGGAACTTATTATATTAATTTTGCAGGGTCATTGACGTAATAAACCTATACCCGTTCGATCATGGTTCTTCCTTGGGTACTATCTGTTGCCTATATTGCTTAATATTGTCACCTTCAAATTTTCTGACTCTGCCATTCTCGCATACCCAAATCTCTGTGCAAATCGAATCAATAAATCGCTCGTCATGGGATACAAGGATGACGCCGCCTTTGAATTCTTTCAAGGCTACTATTAGAGCGTCCATAGAATCCATGTCAAGATGATTTGTCGGCTATTCAATAAGGCAGGAATCGTAATTAGTAAACAAATGTCGGATAACAAAATACAACAAAATATAATCAATTACCTCGTCCAAAATCAAAATATGGGGATTCTGCAATCCTAAACATGCAAATGCCACTCTGCTTTTTTGTCCACCGGACAATGTGTCCAATCGTTGTAACGCTGTCATTCCGGTAACACCAAAACTTCCTAATTGCCTTCTATACTCTTCCTCACTTTTACCCGGCCAAGTTTTAGACATAAAACCGACTGCAGTCGTATCTAGATCGAGTTGATCCACGTGGTGTTGCATAAACAAAGCGAACCGTAACCGTCCATGACGGTGAACAAATCCTTTGAGAGGTTGAAGCATACCAGTCAAAAGCTTCAGTAGAGTTGATTTCCCCGCCCCGTTTGGTCCAACTACAGCTATGCGCGAATCCAATTGTACTGATAAATTGACGTCAGACAAAATCAATTCCCCCTGTTTATATCCAAATGCAACGTCATCTAACTGAAGAATAGGCGGACTAATTGGATCAGGGTTAGGGAATCTGAACGTCACAGAACTTTCCACCTCAGGAGGTTCTATTACTGGCAACTTTTCCAGCAATTTTATTTTGCTTTGAGCCTGTGGTCCTCTCTTTGCATTATATCTCCAACGATCGATAAAGTCTTGTAGATGTTGTCTGTATTGCATCTGAGCCTCATACTCACGTTGCTGATTCCTGCGTCGCTCTTCTTTAGTCGCATAAAATTGCGTAAAATTCCCCCTGTAGAAATCAACGCGTTCAGAATGCTGATGCAAAATATCGGTCGCAACTTCATCAAGAAATTCTCTGTCATGAGACACTACAAGTAGTGTACTTGGCCAATTTTTTAAATAATGTTCTAACCAGGCAACAGCAGGAATATCCAACATATTCGTAGGCTCGTCTAGCAGTAATAAATCAGGTCGACAGAATAATGCTCGAGCTAGCGCAAGTCGCATGCGCCAACCTCCAGAGAACGTTTTTGTTGGATCACGCATTCGCTCTTCCGGAAATCCTAATCCGGAAAGTATAGAAGCAGCACGAGATTCCGCTTTGTCACTCTCAATGTCTGCTAATTTTTGATAAACCTCCTGCAACTGCCCATTCGCATCCTCCTTTTCCTTCTCTATATCTTCTAAAGTTTGGTTTTCGTCTGGAACCATTTTTTCGAGTTTAGCAAGCGTAGCATTTATTCTTTTCTCTTCTCCGAGAAGATGTTCTCTCCAGATATCCGCCCTCAACACAGCTTCGATAGCCGGAGTATCGTCACCAACCATTTCCTGTTCGACATGTAGAATGCTAATGTGAGTCGGGACAGTTAATTCTCGTCTCGAAAGTGTTCTCAGCAATGTTGAATTATGAGTGACAGTCAAATCATCCAATAGCACAAGTTGATTGCCATCCACTTGGAATCCATAATAAGGCATGTGACCAATTTCTATTATACTGAATCTCCACATATATTCTGAATGCTTGTGGAATATTTCAGGTAGACCTTTATCAAGTGAAATAAGATCATATCGCATAGAAGGTAATGTAAACAATTCATTACCGTATATGCTACAATGCCAATGACGCTTGTGATCACGGCACTCGTAACAACTCTCTCTACCAGGTTTGTCACTAAAAAGACCGCAAAAACTTGCCAGTCGTTTAACGGATTTCACCAAGTCCCAGCTAGAAACAGTCAGCTTGACATAATGTCCAATATATGGATCCCAACAACACAAACTATCACCATCCATAAGACCGGCGAGAAGCGGTTTTCGAACAGTTTCAAGGCAGTCTGTCATTAGGGCTGTTGGAATATTCTTCTTCTGAAGTAAGCCAAGTTCCCTAAGCACCTTTTTAAACACATTAAACCGACAATTTCCTGTTCCGCGATCGAAGCTCACATATGTATAAGCATCGTCGGTCACCTGCACACAATTCCACTGCAAGATGGCGCATGCCACTTCCACGTAACTAATGAAAGGACGAGTCTCATTTCTAGGAAGTTTCAAACAATCCGAACCTTTCAATCCTCTACTTATCCAAAAGCCAATCATCCAAGCAGTGTAAAAAACATATTCAGAGGTCGGATAGCGGCCAGTTATAGATTTCAGTATACCAGCTAGTCTGCCTTGTCCTTGAAAATGGGCTATCTTTGGGCGATACATGTATGAATATTTTTGCACTTCCGGGCAAACTTTTAAGAAGTCCTCCAGAGCCACTTCCCATATAAAATCTGGCGACAAACTGTTGGATCTACGTATTTTCTCCTTGTGAGCAGCCACTTTCGCTGCGTATTTATTTCGGTACAGTTTACCGGCGCCATATGAAAAGTATTCTTTCCGTAAGACAATTAAGTTTGTCTTTTGAACATACTCGTACCAATGAAGAGTCACTCTTGGGTTCACTGATACAAATTTTTCGCTCGTAATAACACGTGGCCTTCCCGCAAATTTAAGTACAAGAATGTGTTTGTCGTTACATTCGAACGGCTTGCCTGGACTTCCCAGTTCTGGAATCACTTTATACATAGGCCCTACTCCACGAGAAAGACTTAGGACACGCCTCGGCGCGCCATCATTGCCTTGTAGGTTATCATCGATGAGAATGTCTTCAACTCTTTTAGAGGAACCATCTGACATGAGGAGCTTCGTTCCAAGCCCAAAACATTTCTGTAAACATTTAAAACATATTGTGTGTATGCAAATTGTGTTGGCAGAACACGAACAAGAAAAAGAGAGGAAGGAAAGTTGATGAATTGTAAGTTGTATGTTAGTTTAAAATTGTAGAAAGAAACTCGTCTTATATCCGGTTCGCTAAAATATTGTCCGGGTAACGACTTGCTGAATAAACAATAATGACACCCGACTTGGAATGTAAAAGTTTTGGAAATGGTGAAAACTTACCCCAATACCGTTACGACCAACCAAACCGTATCGACGACCATAGGTCAATGTTAAGTCAGCGTTTGTTAGTATACGTCTGCCGGCAAACGATATGTCGAAATTTTCCACCTTTACATCTTTAACTTTTCCTCTTGTCGAAGTATAATCTAATATTGGATTGACTTTCATTAAGAATTCGGCATCATCCTTCTTTTGTAACAATTTGCTAGCCTCGTAATTAGATCTACGCTCTCTCTTTTCTAACTTTGCTTTTATCTTTGCTTCTGCTTTTTCCAATCTCCGTGTATCCACTCTTGTTTCTAC